TGATATCGCACCGGCGGCGGCAGCCACATGCGATACTCGTGTCGACGTCGAGGGCCTTGCAGCGTGCGAGCACAAACTGCAGCCGATCGACCATGCTTGGTGTCGGCTCCTGACAGACAACGCAAGCTACTTGTCGGACAGGCGTCAAGTTTTCACAGGATCGGCACACCGTGTCGCTGGCCTACGACATGTCCCGCGTCAAAGTGGTCAGAAGAGAGAGCAGGGTACCGGCACATTCTGGCGCAAGAGCTGCGCTGCGAGACCACTTGGGGCTGGGACGTTGCGGACTTCGTAGCCCAAACGCTCGACGATTGCAATCGCCGTCGGTCGGCTTGTCGCCAGTTTTTGCTTGCACGCGGCTGCGAGTGGCGCCAGCCACGGCGCGTCGTTCGCGTCCGAGACCAACACACGAAGCTCGTCGAGGACGACGCCAAACGAGAACATGTCGGCGGCACAGTCGTAGATGCCACCGGTGACGCTGACCTCGGGCGCGCGCCACTTTAGCGTACCCACGTTGGTCGTCAAGTTGTCGTTGAGCTCACGCACTGTGCCGAGGTCGCCGAGCTTGATGCCGTTCCGACCGCAAAGGAAAATGTTGAGGCTCTTGACGTCGCGGTGCATGAGACCTTGGCGGTGGAAGTCCCACAGGGCATTCACCAGCACCCACGCCACGTTTAGAGCCATGACGGTCCCATCTTGGCGCACATTAGCTTGTCGGTCGTCGAGGTACTTCATAAGGTCGCCGTCGGTCATGAGCTCGAGGATCATTTGTGGCTTGTGCGGAGTAACGTCGACCGCAGCGAGGAGCGGCAGCACGTACGGCGACTTAAACCTACAACCCCGTTTGTGAACCAGTCCACCACCGATATGACCTACCGCCGCATCACGTTAATCTCATCCCGAAATTGTTTGAATTGGTTCCGGTAATGTGGACTTTTGACCGCGACGGCGAGTTTGCGGTACGAAGCCCTGACGACTTTCCCGCCAGTTCCATGGCCTAGACTCTGTTCCTCACTTCGATCAATGTCAGCATCGGTGGCCTAAATAGCATGATGCATGTAGTATCGAGATACGTAAGACAAGTTACCTCGTGGGGCTCGCCGTAAAGCGCCTTGTAGAGGAGACGCGCGATGCGTCGAAGACCACGCTGGTTGGCCAGCGCCAAAAGTGACACACCGCCCTAACCAATGACGCGGTTAGCACCCACACAGGCATAGCAAACTCGGTACAAGTCCCTGAACGGCCGCGTTCGCCCCAGCGTCGAGGAGGCACTCGACCGCAGACGTAGCACCACGGGCAACAGCTCGAGCCAGGATCGACGTGCCGTCCTAGATGCAGTCGTCGATTGCCAGCACGGGTCATCGCGATGCGATGTGTTTACCCCATCCAGCTGCTCGAGATCCATGTTTGGCGCAGCGAGGAGGGCGGCAAGGACGCTGGTGTCGACGTTGTTGATGGCCATATCCAGCAGCGACGTATCTCTCTACAGCACCATGTGAGTTGAGGCTAGGGGACGATGCAAAAGATCCAGACTGTGGCGCCAAAGGCGACGAGCGTTCGAATGACGTCGCAGTGGCCTTGTGCCACAGCGAGCATTAGCGGTGTGGATGCCTCCTACAGTAGCGCGCGCCAGTAAGCATGTCAGTCGAAGTGCGAGACGGAACCGCGTTGGTTGCATTGACGTCCGCGGTTGGACTTGCGAGTAGGAGAGTAACAATGCTTGCGTCGCCTCGCGTAGCCGCCTCGTGCAACGGCGAGGTGCCCGTCTACACTAGCATAACGGAATGTGTTGGCGAATGATTCGCGTACGCTCGAGACGACGGAGACGGCCGCAAACACTCTGCGGTCCTGCACGAGCACCTTGACCAGTCGTGGCTGGTTGCTTGTCACTGCAGCCAAAAGCATTCTGTGACACACCTACCCCTCGTGGTTTCAGACATTTCGCGATCGGTCACATTGCGTTTTTACGTCGCTGGCGAGGGATCCTCTGACGGCGCCGAGGTGCGTGACCACGCTCTGCAGCAAGTCGGCGTCACATGCTTCGATCGCGTGGTCCAACAGCATCGCCTACGCCAAGGCTTCATTAAGTCACAACAGCGGTCCAGTACCACGGTGTCGTTGTTGGTGGGGACAGCCACATCATCGTCGGAGAGCAGCAGCGTTTTGGTCATCTCCCAATTGTTTTGTTGGATTGCGTCAGAGAGCTTCTAGTCCGTCAACTGACGTGAGCGGGCAAAAGCATCGCACGACGCATCATCACCTTGGCACGGTTTCTTGCGTCGGGCCCCTCGGTCGTTGCTGGCGCGATCTGGTGATGGGCGCCGATGGTACGTCTGCGGCTGCGCACTGCTGCAACCAAGAGCGTCACGAGGATGACTACCACCGTAAACACCGTTGTCCCGTCAACCTACACCGGCCCGTGTAGGTTTGTTTAAGTGAGATGCGAATACGTACCGAGTAGATTGCGCTGGAAGGCACAGCCCGAATGGTGAGCTCGTTTTGGAGGTTGGTGGCATCATGTGTCAGCGCCGTCAAGTACGCCATCGTCTACATGGCCAGAACGATGCTGCGGAAGCGCACAAACACATAGATACCGCCACGTCCTCCTTCGTAAACTTGAGCTGGAGGCTGCTGGCCGCGACGTGCGGCCGCAGCATCCGGAGCACGTCGTCACGGCCGTTTATCTTGGCCTGCAAAAGCGCCATCGCGAGCGTCTCGGGCGATTGTCTTGGTAAGAAAGCTCCCAGCAGCGTGTCGACATGGCCCGAGTTGCCGAAGCACGCGGCCAGCTGCAGCAACTACAGTCGATCATATATTCAAACAATGGAAAAGACAATAGATGCACCGTGTCCGCCGTCAGTGTTGCTGCTTCGAGCAGCACCGCAGCGACCTCGACATGGCCTCGATCGACGGCCAATTGAAGTGCTGTCTTGCCCTCCTAGAAAAATATATACCATCTTTATACGCGGCGATTTTGTGGCGATGTCTCGGCCGGTACCTGTGTCGTGGCCAGGACATTGGCTTTGGCGGCCAAAAGGTACTGGACCGCGTCTTCACGGCCGTGAGCCGCAGCGACGTGTAGTGCAGTCTCGCCGTCCTAGCGCAAGCAAATTAAGATTACAATCGAGTGGC